ACATTATTAAAAATCTTAACTATTACAAGTCTATAACCCCTTATCAGAAACTAATAAACTTTTATGTATTTTGGAACTCAAAAATTTTCAGATGTTAGAAAGATAAATGACCGCCTACCTATACCAAATTTTATCTTGCATTTTCATCAGAGTCTGGAACCCTCTTTATAAGCAAAGAAATGAATGTATCTGGTTTAAACATGAATTAAAAACAAAGTGGGATGTGAGGACCATAAGTAGTTTGATTTCAGTTCAGATCTAAATTTTTTTTTCTTTATTTTTATTGTTGACACTATTATAGATGTTCTTATTCTAGTCCCCTCTTCCCTCTGCCATCACCACTCTGTTGTCTGCATCCATGGGTTATGCATATATGCTCTTTGGCTAATTCCTTCACCTTCTTTCACCCAGTTTCCCCCTCCCAACTGCTCTCTGACAGCTGTCAGACTGTTTCGTGTATTTATTCCTCTGCTTCTGTTTTGTCTGTTCAGGTCTGAATTGTTGCCCAGTTTGTTTGTGGCAAATGTCAAAAATAACTTTGGTTGTTAAAGACTTTGACTCCAGAATTTTGGTAAAGGGTCTATTATTAATGACTAAGTTATAATACCTATTCCATATTGGTCAGAATCATCTTTACTTAGGCTCTAGAATTTCAAATGAGATTCAAAGGAACATTTCCCAAGTAAATTACCCTTGCTATTTACTTGGCAGCATATAACACTCAGTGATATTATTTGACATAACCAATTTCATTTTATCTGCTACACAAAATTCTCTTAATTGAGTTCCCATTTCAGAAGTACCAAAAGAGATTTTAAATAACTATATTAGTGGACAACTGGAACACACTAAAAACCTACTGAAAATAGACCGATTCAATAAATTATGGCAATTGCTAAAAGAAATTAGACACACATAAATAAAAAGATGTCTGTTTCCTGGCTGGTTTTGCTCAGTGGATAGAGCATCTCCCTGCAGACTGGGGATCCCAGGTTTGATTCTGGTCAAGGAGACATGCCTGGGCTGTGGGCTCAATCCCTGGTGTGCAGGGGAGGGTGGGAGTGTAGGAGGCAGCCAATCGATGATCCTCTCTCATCATTCATGTTTATCTATGCTTTCCTCTCTGAAGTCAATAATATCGATAATAATAAAAAAAGACATCTGTGTTCATGAATTGGGAGAATGAATACTGCTAAAGTGTCCATACTACCCAAAGCCAGTTATATATTTGATGCAGTACCTATCAGGATATCAATGGTTGTATCAAATCATCACGTACACTTAAATACAATTTTATTCAACTCTACACTGTAATAAAAATAATTTGAGAAACGTTTGCCACAGGTTTATAGAAGAATATGTTCCATAAAACAGGATAGGCCATAATTTAATATTTTGTTTGTATCATTTAGGGAGATATAAATAGTCCTCTCCAGAGGATATTTTTTCCACTGATTTTTAGAGGGAGTGGAAGAGAGAGGGAAAATCAGAGAGAAACATCAATGTAAGAGAAACACATCTATTGGTTGCTTCCCTGACCAGGGTCCAGGCCGGGGAGGAGCCTGAAACCATGGTACATGCCCTTGACCAGAATCCAACCTGGGACACTTTGGTCCACAGGCTGACATGCTATCCACTGAGCCAAACCGGTTAGAGCTGGACAGTTTTAATGATGCCCTGTAGTTAAGGATTTGTTTCAAGGCCAAAGATAATTAATGGGCTGGCTTATGACTTAGAAAGTGGTCAGGCAGGAGAGTTCAGTATAATTAGAGTATAGTAGGTTCTTGAATGAGACTATTATTCAGCATTGTTTTGTTTATACCATTGATGAGGGGAAAAATATATATGAAGAGAACAATCCATGTGTGTCTCACATCAATGTTTCTTCCTAGCACCTGCTCTCTCTCTCTCTTCCTCTCCCTTCTTCCCCACCTCTCTCCTTCCCTCTCTCCCACTCACTCTGAAAAGCAATGGAAAAAATATCTTTAGGTGAAAATTAACACACACACACACACACACACACACACAAAAAAAAAAAAAAGGAAAGAAGAAAAAAGAAATGGGGGAGGGGGTAAATCTATGAAAAAAATGGGGAAATGTAAATGCATATTATAAAGTGAAAGCCCTTCAGCTGTGCCCCCTTTCTCTCCCTTCCTAGCTCCTACCAAGAAAAGGATTGACCTGAAACTCAGGTACCTGCCCTTGACCAGGATTGAACCCTTGACCTGTTGGTGTTCAGTCCGACACTCTTAACCATTGAGTGAACCAGCTAGGGCAAAAAACCCCCAGACATTTATAACCATTTTGTAATACAAAATAATACTGAATGAAAACTGCAATTGAAAACAAAAAACAACCTTTATATTTTTTAAATTTTGCATATCACATTTAGGTTTTTAATTTTCTATAATTAATTTTTACACATAAAAGAATAAAAAATTTTCCCATACAAAGAGGGACCATTTATTGACTAGTCTATCCTTTCCTAATTTTTGTCAATGTGAGAAATGCCTAAACTTGTAGAGAATTTTTATGAGTTTATTTGAGCCAAATCTGAGAACAATTGCCAGGAAACCAGACCTTAAATGCCCTAGATAATGAGTTTTGCAGTTTTTAAAAAAATGCTTTTGATTACCCACCATGACCAGACAGGAATTTATAATTTATTACAGCACCTCTTTTTCACCCATATTTTTACACATTTATTTTTTTTAAATAGGCAGCACTTTTTAAAAAAAAACATATTTTATTGATTTTTTACAGAGAGGAAGGGAGAGGGATAGAAGTTAGAAACACCGACGAGCGAGAAGCACCGATCAGCTGCCTCCTGCACACCTCCTACTGTGGATGTGTCCACAACCAAGGTATGTGCCCTTGATCGTAATCATCGAACCTGGGACCTTTCAGTCCGCAGGCTGATGCTCTATCCACTGAGCCAAACCGGTTTTGGCATATACATTTATTTTTATTGGTTTCTGAGAGGGAAGGGCAGGGAGAGAGAGAAACATCAATGATGAGAGAATCATTGTTCGGCTGTCTCCTGCAAGTCCCACACTGGGCATCAAGCCTGCAACAGGGCATGTGCCCTGAACCAGAATCAAGCTGTGAACTCTTGGTTTATAGGTCTACCCTCAATCACTGAGCCATTCTGGCTAGGCTCAGATCTATCCTTATAATATGGTAATGTGCAAATTGGTCTGGGATGCTCTCACATAAGGACCAAACAGCAGGAGAGCTGGGCAGCGAGCTATAAACATTCGAGAACTACAAGCAGTGGTGGGCAGGGCTGCTATATTGTAAAAACTAGAGGCCATGTACACAAAACTCGTGAATGGGGTGAGTCCCTAGGCCAGCGATCAGGGCTCATTTGGGCCTTCCTTTGTTCTGCACTGCCCCTTAGTAGTCAGCACACATCTTAGCGAGTGATCAAACTCTTGCTCTCCTGGTCGAACTCCCAAGGGGACACTTTGCATATTAGCCATATTTTCTCTTTCCTCTTTTATGCTATATACATTCATACATATACATATATGATATATATATAAATATATAGACACACATATATATGTATATATAGAGAGACAGAAAGAGAGAGAGAGAGACTATATTTTCTCTTTCCTCTTTTTAGTTTATGCTATTTACCATTATGGACAGTGAGCCGTTTACTTTGTGACTTACAAAGTACGTTTTTCTGATCAGAACAACTCACGCTTGTGAGGTAATTAAACATTTTGAATATTAAGCTGAATCTAGTTAATGATTTAATTTACCTCTAACAAACCTATTCACCAAGTCCTCAGTGCTACAGGTAAGATATAGACGGAGATAAAATCTCAGTCCATTTTCATCAATTATAAGGAGAACTTGGTCCCAATAAATTACTTGTGGATTATTCAGTCTCCAGTTATTCCCCTAACAGGAATCCGATAGACAGCCTAGCGCTGAGCCTCAAAACTATTTTCCTTTCCTTTCCCTTCCTTCCTCATTCCGCACTATAACCCGTTTTTCCTGGCTCTGAATTAATTCTCAACTATGGTAAAACATCTGACCTTAAAAATAAAAATAGCCGAAACCGGTTTGGCTCAGTGGATAAGCTTTGGCCAGTGGACTGAAAAGTCCTGGGTTCGATTCTGGTCAAGGGTATGTACTTGGTTGCGGGTACATCCCCGGTGGGTAGTGTGCAGAAGGCAGCTGATCAATGTTTCTCTCTCATCGATGTTTCTAACCCTTTCCTTTACTCTCTGTAAAAAAATCAATAATATATATATAATTTTTATTTTATTTTTTAAAATATATTTTATTGATTTTTTACAGAGAAGAAGGGAGAGAGATAGAGAGCTAGAAATGAGAGAGAAACACCGACCAGCTGCCTCCTGCACACCCCGCACTAGGGATGTGCCCGCAACCAACGCACATGCCCCGGAAGGGAATCGAACCTGGGACCCCTCAGTCCAAACCGGTTTCGGCCAATAAAATATATTAAAAAAATAAAAATAAATCTTAAAGCGCTGTCCTTGTCTTACCCACATATCTTGCTAGCCTAGACCATGAACTTAGTATACATGGGAATTTAGTCGCCAACCCAACTAGGGTAGGTCCCCAGTAACACAGCAGCTCCCGGGTCACCGCGACCCCGTTAGTCCAGTTTGCCTGGATTCAGGCCCAATCCAGAGGCTGGCCCAGGGGTTCTCTTGGGACCTGTCCCTGCTTCCCAGGGGGACACTTTACCCCCAAACCAGACTCTCTCCTAATCCGGGGAGCTGAAGCTTCAATGCCTTTTGGGGTCTGGGCCGGGCTCAGGCTCAATTCCGGAGGAGGAGCCCCGAGTTTTTGTCAGATCAGCAGCCCGCAGCCCAACTGAACAGCCGGAGGGTGGGGGCGGGGGCGGGGGGCCCATTGTGTCGGCGGCTGGAGCATCGAGCCTGGCTCTGACGCAGCGAGGCCCCGCCCCCCGCGCGTGACGCCAGCGTCAGGCCAGTCCCGGCATGCTCCGCGGCCCCCGGCGCTCGGAGGGACGCAGGCGAAAGGAATTTTTCCCGAGAGCAGCCTCGGCTTCACTTCAGTTGTTGTCCAGACTCCCGGCCGGACTCGTCGTCGCTTTCAGCCATTCTCCTACTGCACCCCCGACTCCCCCCCCAGCCCCCGCACTCCGCACCCCGCACCTCCTCCGTCGGTCCGAGCGCCCGCAGCCCTCCCGCGAGGGCGCCCCGGGAACGGAAGGACCCAGCAGCCTGTCGGCGCCCGCCGCTCTCGTGGTCGCCGTCGCGGTCGTCGTCGTGGTGGTCTCGGCCGTCGCCTGGGCCATGGCCAACTACATCCACGTCCCGCCCGGCTCCCCGGAGGTGCCCAAGCTGGACGTCACGGTGCAGGACCAGGAGGAGCAGCGCTGCCGGGAGGGGGCCCTGAGCCTCCTGCAGCACCTGCGGCCGCACTGGGACCCTCAGGAGGTGACCCTGCAGGTAACGCCCACCCCGCCGCCGCCGCCGCCGCCGCCCGCGCTCCAGCCCGGCGCCGCGCCAACGGGGGCTTTCACAATGCTTTCCGTTCCCGGAGATCGTGTGTGTGTGTGTGTGTGTGTGTGTGTGTGTGTGTCCGTGTCCGTATCCGTGTCCCCGTGTGTGTGTGTGTCCCTGGGAACAGGGACCCCGTATTTCCTCCCCCCGCCGAGGAAGGTCACTCCCCCTTCCTCATCCTCGCAGGTGGAAGCAGCCCCGAGGGCACGTTTCCTCGGCCTGGAAGCGGCCGCCTTCAGTGACCGTCCCTTTCCGCCCCCGGGGGATCCTTGTGGATGGCCGCCCCCCCCTCCCCCTCCGGTGTCCGTTCTAAAAGCAAAATGAACGGCGTTTCTCTCTGCCCCTCCCCCCCCCTGTACAGTAGGGATCCTCGCGCCCGGCGGCCAGGCCACCCTCGTTTCTCCTTCCGCCGGTAAAGGCTGTAAATTAATCCTCTCTGATCCCTTCCTCCTACCCTCCCCCCACCCCTCCCCCCCCACCGCGGTTCACTCCCATTGATCCCTCGCCCTGCGTCTGGCCTTCTCAAATCCTCCCATTGGCCAGACTACCAGAGTGACCACTAGGTGGGATTCTCCCAGGTAACGCTACGCACGTTTGTTGTATTTGGATCGATATTTATTCTAAGTCGCCCTAGTGACATTAACAATGAGCGATCAGTATCTTGGGAACATTTTTTTTTTTTTTCTTGAGACACTTGTATTCAGAGATGGACAAAAACTGGGGGGGATACATTATTCATCTAGGTGTTTCCTAGTAATTTCTAAATACGTTATGATGTAGTAATATACATGGAATTTATTTTGACTGAATTTGTTTTTAACTTTTGGAGTTTCAGGGACTGTATATGAAAATGAACCTCCTTTTTTTTCCTTGAAGACACAATTTTAAAGGCTAGGATGTTCGGAGTTTGTTTTCAAATTTGAGCAGTATGGTTTAAGACCGTTGAAGTAGCCAAGTCACCTGCCTTTGTTTTGTTGACTAATTTATTCAACGATGTTATTGACAGTATCTCAGATTCTTTGCTAAAGTAGCCATCTATAATACAAAGATGAATAAAACATGAACAGCACACTTCCTGACAATCAAGCTTTCTTGAGTGTTAGTTTCAGTTCTTATTGTCTAGAAGAGTTTGTGAGCAGATTAAAAAGACCCATATGTTTTTGGGAAAAAAAATTATTAGAAGAAAATTTTGAAATTATAAGGAAAAATTTGTTAGGCAAAAATTTTGAAATTATAAGGGAGGGTTTATTAGCTAACTTGTAGGACAGTGTTAATCCAAATGGTTTTCATGTGTGATTTAAAAAAAAAATAATGATATATTTCCTTTAAGGAATATCTTATTGAAACCCCAGACTTTTTTAGTTAATTGTTCATTAACTTATTTGTAGTTTATTGAAGGTTTTTATATTTATTGAAATGATTTGTATTCTGTCAGTCAGTTATAACTTAAAGAGGTATTAGTTGAAGCCATGATACCTCCTAATAAACTCTGGTGCTGGCAAACTAGTTATTTTTGAAGCAGAGATTTTAAAGTTTGAAGCATTGAAGACTGGAGTTTCTGATTTGTTGAACAGTAATAATAGACACCCTGAGGTACTATGTGCTGGTTTGGGTTAGATGATCTATATTTGTTACCATTTAATTCTCCAAACAATCATTTAGATAGGCTCTTTATTTTTCTTTTTTAATTAAAAAAAAAGATATTAGAGAGAGAAAGGGAGGGGGAGGAAGGGAGGCAGGGAGACAGAGACACACACAAAGAAAGAGAAAGAAACATTGATATGAGAGAAACATTTATTGCTTGCCTCTGATAGGATTGCTGAATAGGGATTAGTGTCTGCAACCTGGGTAGGTGCCCAGACCGGGATTTGAACCCTTGACCTTTTGGTGTACAGGAGGATACTCCAATATACTGAGCCACAGGGGCCAGGGTCTCCCTCTCTTTTCCCCCCCACCCCCCTTGTCCTCTCTTCCCCTCTCTCTCCTTCCCCCTCCCTCTCTTAAAACCAGCAAATATGTTAAAAAGGGACAAAAATGTTGTGACTTCAAACTTTGTTGTGGGCAAGTACTTGTGATTGAACATTCTGTCTCTCTAGTAAGACCTCTGGAGTCATAATCCAAACCTCTAACATACTTATTTGTAAGTGAAGGTAAATACCACCACTTGTTTTGTTGTAGAGATGATGATTAGAAATACATTTCCTCATTGTGCAAGCAAAGCTTTTGATATAGAAGCTGGAATCATCAAGCTGAATTGATGGTTATTCATCTCTCAATTTAGGTTTGACTTCCACATTCTTTTGTGATGCTTCAGGATTTCCCTAGTAAGTCTCATTGGGAATATATATTGTTTAATTTGCTTTTATTTTCTTTGAGGTACAAAATAAAAATCATACCTCACATTTCAGAAGTAGAAGTATGTATCATGTGCTCAACAGATTAAAACAATATACATGGTTCAATTCTTGTCAAATATTTTTTTCTAAAATTCTTACATGATTTAAAATATGCTTTAAACACACCTTAGAAACTTACTCTAGTAATATTCGTTTTACTCCTGCCAGCTGAACAATTCAGTACAAACCCAAAAATCCAGAAACAAGCAAAAAAGACTTTGATGCACTGAGAATGATAGAGGGCTCATTCTTTGCTCAAAACTTACGGACACATGGAACAAAACATCTCATTTAGATAAGGTTTTACCAAATTATATGGTTTTTCTACTTGTATAAGATTAAATAATAAAGTACAAAAAGGGTAGTGAGCTTTTTGGAGTATAAATATCTGAAAAGTTTAAGGTGCAGTGCCTTCTAATAATATTTTACTGTTTATAAAGCATTTTCAAATACATTTTCCCAACAATCCTGTGAGTTAGATATAGACTATTAACATGTATTTTATAGTTAATGAAATTGAACTTGCAGTTTGTAAGTAGCAGATCTGAGATGGGAACTCATGAATTACTGCTCTTTGATTAAGACAAGTTTGTTTGTATTTTATGATTAAGGCAAGGAAGCCATTTTTGTGTAAGATTAATTTCTTAAAAATAAAAGCTTTGGGCCCCCCCCCCCCCAAAAAAAAAATTCTGCTTCAAGTTCTTCTAAACATAAATTTGCATTACTTTTTAAACCTGTGACATTTTAGAAAAGAGGATTCACTTCAGCTTCTCTTTTGTTATGTAACAACTCCCTATCTTACATGAAGATATGGAGTTTTGGCTTCATTTTTTTTGGAAGGTCCTTGAAAAAAGAATAAAGAATCAAGTGAAATCTTTTCGGCCTAATGGAATAATTCTAGGGTGACTCTTAAAATTGTTTTTCTTCTAAAAAAAATTGATGAAACCTTGTTTGGAATATTCTGGTCTCTGAATTTTTCTCTGCATTGTTGGACAAGGTTGTTTCACTAACTCGTGATTTTTTTTTTTTTTTTTAATAACTTGGTACCTATAGTAGATGATGGGAAAGATTGGGTAGGATAGAAAGGCCTTAATTATTACGTGGCATTGTAAGTTAAGATATTTTTTCTTATTTTAGAGTCTCAATGAGATCAATTGCTATACAGTACTTGTATTAACTTAATTTTGTAATAAATAGTATATTATAGTGGTCAAGAACAGGGGTTTGAACATATTGCTGTTTCTGAGTCCAGGCTTTTTGCTTAACTAGATGTGTTATCTTGGTCAAGTTACTTACCTTTCCTAAGCCTCAGTATCCTTAGTTATAAGATAAATCCAAATGTTCTACTTCAGGGTTGTCAGAATGAAATAAATGCTACCTTTCATGACAATTATTAACCACTATTGAGTACTATTATATAGTGGATGCCTGAATCAAAAAAACAATATGTTATTTGAAATTCCCACTCTGATGTACAGTACAAATGGAAAAAAAATATGTAGTATAGTGTTTTTGGAATGAATATTCAAATTTTCACTTGTAATGATTACATAAAAGTACTTAAAAATATACAGTTCTGCTGCATTCAAAAATTTATTTATTCTTTTAAAAATATATCTTATTGATTTTTTTTTTTTTTTTTACAGAGAGGAAGGGAGAGGGAGAAAGAGAAATATTGATGAAAGAGAAACATCAATCAGCTGCCTCCTGCCTACTGGGGATGTGCCTGCAACCAAGGTACATGCCCTTGATTAGAATCGAACTTGGGACCTTTGAGTCCGCAGGTCAATGCTCTATCCACTGAGCCAAACTGGATAGGGCTGCATTTTTTTAAATTCTTACCTAAGAATATTTTTCCGTTGACTTTTTTTTTTTTTTTTTTTTTTTTTTTTTTTAAGAAGGAAGAGGGAGAGACTGAGAGAAACATCAATGAGAGAGAAACATCAGCATTGATTGGCTGCCTCCTGTGCCTCCTGCATGGACCCTGCCAGAGATCGAGCCTGGAACCCTGGCATGTACCTTGACTGGGAATTGTAACCAATGAATATTTTATTTTATTTTATTTTAATTTAATTTAATTTTTATTATTTTAGAGAGGAAGAGAGAGACAGAAACATCAATGATGAGAGAGAATCATTGATTAGCTGCCTCCTGCACACCCCCTGCTGAGAATCAAGCTCACAACCCAGGCATGTGCGCTTGACTAGAATCAAGATGTGTATGCGTATGTGTATGTAAAATATAGAATATAGACACATTCATTTGCAATGTAAAAGGTAGACTGAGATATAATTAATAGCTATCAAAAGTTGTGTAGAAATACTAGTTGTTGCCTAAGGAACACAAATTAAAGACAATGCTATAAAAACTTAAGTTCAAGATTAAACAGTATAATTGATATAATCCTTTCTAATAAGGAGGGAATATACTAATTGACTGCCATGCCCTCAAAGATGGTGATGCCCACAGCCAATAAGGAGGGAATATGCTAATTGACTGCCATGCCCTCAAAGATGGTGGTGCCCACAGGCAATAAGTAGGGAGTATGCTAATTGACTGCCATGCCCTCAAAGATAGCAGGGCCCACAGTCCCCAACCCCCTCAGCCTGCCAGCCTGTATTGTGTGCCCCCATACCTCAGTTTTTCAGCGTTTGTGCACTGAAGGCTCCCCTCTTTTTCCATCTGGTTGTAGAACTTCCACTCAGCCAGCCTCCCGTGGCTCTGGGTGATAGATGCTTTGTCTTTTAGTTGTAGTTTTGAAGTTGTTGTGCACGGCAGCAGTTTAGGTGTGTTTACCTATGCCGCCATCTTGTGTTCCCTCTACTTGCTATTTTTTAAAATCCAGAATTAAAATTATAGACATGTTAGGCAAAATTATATTCAAAAGTTCTTTTATATTAAAAAGTACATAATTGCTTTTAATTGGTATTTATTTTCATATTATCTCTTATTTAGTTCTTTGAGTGTATATAATGCTTTTCTTCCCATTTCTTTCTTTTCTTTTCTTTTTTTTTTTTTGTGCAGGTCTTCACAGATGGAATCACAAATAAACTTATTGGCTGTTATGTGGGTAATGCAATGGAGGATGTAGTTTTGGTGCGAATTTATGGCAATAAGACTGAGTTGTTAGTCGATCGAGATGAAGAAGTGAAGAGTTTCCGAGTGTTACAGGCTCATGGTTGTGCACCACAACTCTACTGTACCTTCAATAATGGACTATGCTATGAATTTATACAGGGAGAAGCATTGGATCCAAAGCATGTCTGCAACCCTGCCATTTTCAGGTACATTTCTTTTTTAAAAGTTTTCCTTTGGAAAAACAGGAGTATTAAGTGCATTAAGAAAATATATGTTAAAACTGCCTTTTCTTTGAGCAATTATTTGTTTAACTTAGAAACTTTCTTTAGGGTTTTCTTTTGGTAAAGAAAAGACATTATTTGTCTGCCCTGCTAATTATTTACTCTTTGTAAAAGAAAGAACTACAAGAGATTTTGGTGAGGTATGTGCCCCACACTGGAATTGGACCCATAACCTTTTAACCCAGGGGCCACCATTCCATCCAACAAACCAAACCAGCTAGGGCCCCTTAATTTTTTAAAGCAGTGTTTAACTCAAACATTTCTTACTACCAATTTGGGATTAGTTAGACGTCATATTTTATTGTTTGTTTATTTATTTTTTTAAAAATTATTCATTGATTTTAAAGAGAGAGAGGGGAAGAGAAAGAGAAACATCAATTTCATTGTTCCCTTTATGCATTCAATGGCTGATTCTTGTATGTGCCCTGACCAGGGATCTAACCCACAATATTCAGAAATAGGGATAATGCTCTAAACTAGCAGTCACTAACCGGTAGTCAGTCCATGGGCCACTGGTGGTCTGTGATGTCCAAAAAGTTGACGACCACTGCTCTAAACAACTGAGCTATCTGCCTGGGCCTAGATGTCACATTTTAAGCCATCGTTTTTAGGTTATCTTACTATGCAGTCCAACAATCTGGACTGATTAATCACAGCTTCAGTAAACGTTGATTTAATCTTAGATCAAAGTCCACAGTGCTCTGTTTATTTTGACTCATTCAGACATATCTACTTGCCTATATTATGGTTTTAACAAAGAATATCTACTTTGAATATAAAAGGCGTTGGAATATATGTTTATATTTGATCTAGTTTAAGGGAGGGAAATGAATTTAAACAGTCCCTGCTCTTCTAATAATTTAGAGTCTGTGACAGACAGTAATCTTGGGGAAAAAAATGAAATGGTGTAACCGGCATAAAGGAAAGGTTTTCAAAAGAGTACAGATAGTTTACTATGGTATACTTGGGAAATTAGGCAGTGTTTTACTGAAATTACATTTAAACTGGGCTCTAAAAGATGAAGCAGAACCTGGAGGAGGCTGAGGGAATGGGATGATAGGTAAAGATGACTTGTACCAACTTAATGTTTAGTAATTCAACTGTGGAAAGTTATCACAATCTGTTTTATTTGAACCCTTCTGTAACAATCATGCAAAGGCCTTTAAAAATTTAAACATTTAATTGTGTTTAGGAATTTTCTCTTATCAGGTGTTTCTCTAAAACTTGCCTCTTGCTGGTAATCCTAGCTGAAGTTTAATTAAAAGCTACCCATCAGCAGACACAATGGAGAAATGTACTTTAAGATGAATTTGTACATTTTCAAGAAGTGTAACTAAAAAACACTGATTTATAGTGCTGAGGGTATTATACTGAAACTAGTTCATTGTGGGTTGCAAGTAAAACTGGTAAAGTTGAACCAAAGCACACATACCTAAAAAGATTACAGATTTTAATATTTTGGTATCGCATTGGTACTCTTGATTGAGGATGAATTGAGAATTCAAACTGACTTATGAAGGAATTTAATGATACATATAACTGAGAATGAGTTCAAGCATGGATGGATTCATGGGCTCTAGAACAGTATCATAGAAATATCACTCTCTTTTTGAAAAAATTCTGTGTTTTTTGTTTTGTTTTTTTAATCTTAACTGAGGATATTTTTTCCCCATTGATTTTTATTTATTTATTTTTAATATATTTTATTGATTTTTTACAGAGAGGAAGGGAGAGAGATAGAGAGCCAGAAACATCGATGAAAGAGAAACATCGCCCAGCCGCCTCCTGCACATACCCCACCGGGGATGTGCCCGCAGCCAGCGTACATGCCCTTGACCGGAACGGAACCCAGGACCTTTCAGTCCGCAGACCGATGTTCTACCACTGAGCCAAACCGGTTTCGGCTCCCCATTGATTTTTAGAAAGAGTAGAAGGGGATTGAGGAAAGAGAGAGACAAGGAGACCGAGAGCTATGAATCTGTTGACTCTCGTATATGCCTGGACCCACTGGGCTGGGAATCAAACCTTCAACCCAGCTACATGTCCTGGATCCCACAACTCTTCCGTGTGCTGACTGATGCTGCATCCACTGAGGCACATGCTTTTTTTCTGGCGGACTTTATGAAGAAGTTTTATTTTCTAGCATATTTCCTTAAGAGTGACAATTACAGTGATCAGCAATTGCAAGCTTACCTATTTAGTAGTATTGCCACCCCAGGTTGTGGAGTAAGGAATTCCTCTTTTTATAAAGGCTTCAACCAAAGTCAAAGCTTCAACAAAAATTCTGGGATCAAGTCCCTTTGGCCTAGCTTGGGTAATATGCCCTGAACCAATTATTGTGGCCTAAAGGATGGAATGCCGTGGGCAAATGTGTGTCATATCTTCACTCAAGTTACTGTTGCAGATAGGACAGGGAGTCAGGATTGAGATAAACTCTGTATGAATCACATGAACTAAAAATGAAGAGGGTGGACGTTTTTCCATAGGAAAAAATCAGAACTGGGTAGATAAAAATATTCACTATAGTAATAAAACCATCATAAAATTATGTTATGTAATCACAGATTGATGAAGAATTACTACAATGTTAGATTTCTGTGTGCCTTAGTTTAAGTGGTTCTCAACCATTTTTGCATATTGAAGTCATCTGGGAAGCTTTTAAATGTCCCGATGCCCAGACCAATTAAATCAATTTCTGGAGGGTAGTAACCAAGGCTCTGTATTTTTTTCCTTTGAAGTTTCAAAGTTTGATTTTAGTACACAGCCAAGCTGTAGAGCATTATATTAGTGCCCTTCAGACTTTACAGTGGTTTAAGATTATTTGGAGATCTTGTTTAAAATGAAGTGTGTTGGGGGCCCCCACTTTCAGAGATTGTGATTGAGTAGATCTCAGATATTTGTACATGGCGCTATGTTGTAGGTTGTAGAACTGATTTGAGGTACATTAGATGATTAGCATTTTGAATTAGTCAGTTTTAAGTTCTTTAATTTGTGAATTATTGTTAAGTCATTTTTTCGCCTGCTAGTCTGTAGGCTGTTCAGTAACTAATTTCTATTTGATATGCTTATTCCTTCATCAGATTTGCTGTACTGGTTTCTACAGAGACAAACAGCATGGGCACAACATTATGCAACTTCAAATTATTTTGATAATTGATTGTGACATCATAAAATCCAAATATTTGTTCAGAGAATTTGTCTTTAACAATAGTTAATGAAATGAACTCATAGAACCCATTTATCTTCCTGGTTACCTTTTTACTTTAGTCCCTTTTTGCCCCTTAACCTTGAGGCTCAAAATTAAAGTGACTCAGTATAATTCAAATGTATGTATCTCTGATTAATTTCTAATATGTGTCTTGCTGTAATTTATAATTGTGTATTGTTCTGCTGGTTCCAAATATTGTATAATCATAATAGGACACCTATTTTCAGATACTCAACCCCTTTTGGACACAATATTGAATTGTCATATTAATTGTAATTTTCTTCCTTCTGATGCTTTAAGAATTTGGTTTCCTCTCCTTGTGGGAGTTGACTTGCCAAATTATTTTTTGAATCTTACACATTTATGGCAAAAAATAAATTATGTTATAAAAAATGTTCTCTAGTTGTTTTAGTTTACCTGTGTCTAGACCTGAAGTATGATGATTAACATTTTCTTTCTATGCTCTTGTCTTTTAACAGGCTAATTGCACGTCAGCTTGCTAAAATTCATGCTATTCATGCACATAATGGCTGGATTCCCAAATCTAATTTATGGCTGAAGATGAGGAAATACTTCTCTCTCATTCCCACAGGATTTGCAGATGAAGATCTTAATAAAAGGTAAAATTACTAAAATTACTTTTACATTTGAAATGATGTTTTACATTGCTTTGTTCAACATACTAGTTTTCAAAGATAAGGTTTCTGTATATAAAATCTGGTTTGGTTTATCTCTGCATTGAAATAAAATAGGCATTGATTCATTTGACTTTCAGATGGTACTATAGAATAAAAGCCTCTCTCTTCCCTCAGATGACTTAAAACAAAAACAAAACAAAACAAAATCTTACAAAAGCAAAGGGGTAGGGAAGTGGGCAGAGATAAGGGAACAAAAAATAAATATAGATCTTTTATTTGTAAGTAGTATTTTATCTTTTATTTGTAGTATTATAAGTAGCTGAAATATAAAGGTCACTATGAATAGGTATGTTTTTGCATAATATGAGTTGGTCATTGAGACTTTAAAAACATTTTTTGTTCAAAGATGTTTTGAATAGGGCTAGAGATTACATTGGGGCAGTGAGGTAATACTGGAATGTGAAAAAGCTTGAGTTATCTTAGTTTACTATGGCTACAGTATTACTTAGACTTTGTAGGGCCAAACTAAGTATAGTATTTCATTATCCTAATAAAAAGCCCAGTGTTGTAATGACTTATCACAACCAAAGGCTGACCAACTGGAAGTCAGTCCTACAGTCAGCGCTGTGTTGTCCTGGCATCCTTCATAGCTGCTGCCACATGCTGTGGTATAAAACACAGTGTGCAAGTGACCAAAAATTCAGGCATCACTTCTATGCCACCCCCACATTTCCATCAATCCCACTGGGCCTGAGGTGCCCTCCCCATTTCTCTCCAGGTCTTTACTGGGGCTGCTAATCAGCTCTGCCTTTCTGATTGGGCCCCGTTGATAGGTCTAGAGATGCTGACTGGCATAGAAACTGACCAATGAGAACCAAATCTGGGTGAATGTAAGGAGCCAATGGCTGCCTTGGAGGCAGAGTTTTTGATGCTGACTGGCATAGAAACTGATCAATCAGAACCAAATTGGCCTGTAGAGGAGGGTGATCAGGCTGGCAGGGGAGAGCAGTTAGGGTCGAGATCAGGCTGGCAGAGGAGGGCTGTTGGGGCAACTAGGCTGGCAGGGGAGGGCAGTTGGGGGTGATCAGGCAGGCAGAAGCAGTCGGGGGTGAGATCAGGCCATCAGTGGAGAGCAGTTGGGGGCTCGATTAGGCTGGCAGGGGAAGGGCAGTTAGGGGTGATCAGGCAGGCAGTGAGGTGAGTGGTTAGAAACCAACGGTCCCAAATTTTGAGAGGGTCTAAACTGGCCATTTTGTCACACTACTTCTCACCCTTCCTGGTCTGACTACTATGAACCAGTTTCTATAATGAATAATATGAAAACTCCATGGTGTGATTTTCACATGGTAATATAATGATCATATGATATCATGTAATAATATGAGTCCATTTATCTATGGTGGATAATATATATTGAGTTTGAAATGTGAATTTAATGGATTTATACTGTAATTACCCTTTCAAACTTGAAGTAAATGTTTAGATCTTTAATGGACTGTCTTTGTAACTTTAATATACTTAAACCTGTTTTTATTAAACTCTTTGTGTCTTGATTTTCCCTCTATAAAATGAAGTAAGTATAAAACATTTAGCTAATACTAAGCAGTGTTAGCTATTAGCATATATTTTTTTCCTTCAGTGTTGTAGTGATATATTTTTTACTTTTCTGCCCTACCATTTAACTCTTGCTCAGTTTCTTTTCATGTTTAATTTCATTGTAAAGATTTTTCTTTATTCCAGCTTTTGGAATAATTGGCTTGTTTTAATTCAGAAGTCTGTGCTATTGAATGGAAAGAACTTATTAAATTATTAATCCTTAACCCAACTTGAAAAAATGTCATTAAACTAAGCAAGATACAACTCTTTTAAAATTAAAAGGTTCCTAAGTGATATTCCAAGCTCCCAGATTCTTCAGGAAGAGATGAATTGGATGAAGAGGATTCTTTCCAACCTGGGCTCACCTGTTGTGCTTTGCCATAATGACCTACTGTGTAAGAATATAATCTACAATGAGAAACAAGGTAGGTATTTGACTTTAGCAGTAAGTACAGATTAATTCTTTGATGTTCTTTGTGGTCTTTTGATTTTTGTCTCAAATTTAATTAAATGCAAGGATTGAAAACTTGCATGAAGTCTTTAAATATTTTCTTATAGGTTATAAAGTCATGTTAACTGCTAATTAGGAATATATATTTTCTATTTATTTGTATAAACTGTTTCCTAGAATTTATTTAATAAAAACAGATTGGTTCCTGTTAAGCGAGTTTTAAATGAAACATAATAAAAATGCCTTGTTTATAAAATTTAACTATAAGACATGTTTGATAACTCATTGTTTGAAAATACACCTGCTTATATTGGCGTTTATTGAAAAAAACCAACTGATACTATACTGCTTTATAAATATGGAAATTTTCTCAGAATTATGAAGGACAACAATATTAAAAACATGTTTCCAGGTTTTCTGTTACCTATTTATTATGCTGATTTGTTAGGTAGTTTGATGCTAAGGAGAGGGCCACAGATGGAGGAAATATTTGTACCTACTTAAGTAATAATCAAGAAGATCTGGCAAATAACTTTAATATATTTTTGAGATAGACAGTGATACTTTCTGGTGAAATGTTTTCTTTGATCATATCTATATTCAAATTCTCTTTTATATTTAAGAAACACTTGGTTGTGTTATTATTGGATAGAGTGGTTTGAGGTTTGGTTGCTAAACAGATGAAATTTAAAAATACAATTTTTAAGATTAGAATGGAAAAAGTCTGTTTGAAACTATGAAGCTATTGAATTTTATAGAATCAGTTTTGAAGATAATCATTATAGTTGGAAGATTGTTTTGAATCAAAAGTGTGTTGTTATAAAGATACTAAAGCCCAAGAATTCTGATTAAATGGGCATAGTTATATTATATTAATATTTGTAACCATTATTAGTGGTTTATAAGTTGAGACTATTCTAATAAGAGGTGGTGGATATTTGTAACTTGCTTTACTTGAGAAAACCAAGTAAAGAACACTGTCAAGAGTGGGTAGCCTGAAGCATGTATTTTCAAAAACGTTTAAGTAACTTTTATATTTGCTATTTATTGCAGTTTAGAGATTTTCTTATTTAAAAATATACTAAGCTGACATCTTTATTTTGAATGTCTGGAAGTTTTTGTGTAGAATTCTATTTTTAAAACTTTAGGAGTACCTAAAACATTAAGTACTTGACAGTGTCCTTTAGTTTATTATTGTCCATTTATTATATATCATTGCCATAGAATATATGTACTACGTTATATAATAGTAACCAAATCTCAATGCCATTTGTGAGACAGGTATTAGTTGTGCATTAAAGGGAATGTATTAGCTTTAAGTTCAGTGTAAGACTGAATAACACATTATTTTATGTAATGAAATTTCAAGTGAGGGACTTCATCTTGCGCTTCAAGTGGACACTCAGCTTTATTTTTAACTGCAAGTTAATCAAAGAGTCTATTTCCTTTGGAATATAATTTTAACTTTCATACTTTTATGTTTCTTTTGCATATTCATTTCATAGAACCAATTTATTTATAAGACTAAAACAGAAGGGACCAAAAAAATCAGATTACTTTGTCTTAGTTTTTAAAGTACATTTTTATGTTTTAATTTTACCAGTTGCCTATCTAAACTATTGATCAATGATACGAAAAGTTCTCATATTTTGAAATAAATATTTATGCTTCAGTTTGGCTTTGGGAATTCAAAATTGTCATTTGTTTATATTTACTAAGAATTACCTAAATCATACTTGTATGTCTAATTTTTTTTGTACACAGAATAAAGTTAAACAAATATTATTTTGATATATATTTTATAGTTTGTCCTTCAGAAGTCTATTATATATCATTTGTTTCTTGTCTTTGAGTTTGTTTGTGTGCTAGTTATAGAGAAGTTTTGTTGTTTTTCCTTACCAATGGTTTTATAGTGTTTCTTAGAAAGGCTAGTGTGAACTCCATGACATCCACTTAAAAAAATAAATTCTTATGTCATTAATTGATAAGCATTAAGAAAATGTGGTTGGAATTTTGTCCAGGTAAAATCTAAAACTCATGAAAGAATGTCTGGCCTTTTTTGTTTATTATCTCATTTTGTTTCAAAGTAGGAGCTAATTTTTTTAAAGTAACATTATTGTATGACTTATTTGTCATTATAAGGGTAAGATACCATGCCTCTGACTTCAAAAAAATGTAAATTCTATAAATTCAGTAAATTTAATAGCCAAAAATAGACTTTAGCTTAGCATTAGTATTTACTTATAGCTGCAATCAAAAGGAGGATAATTAAAGTGAGAAATATGTATCTCAAAGTTCTTTACCTTAACTAATCACCTTGTACAGCATTTAAAAGCCAAGTGTTGAATCTTTTGGGGTTAAAATAATTTTTACATAGAAGAAATTATTAATCTGCATATTATATTCAAAATGAGTTTGATTTATCATTATTTGTAATTTGAGCTCAGGACCTCACCATTTTATACTCACCTACGAGATATAAATATAAAAATAATAAGATGAAAGTCAAGGGACTGGCCTTGACATCATCAAGCTTAGTATCTGTTATATGTTTTAAATCCTCAATATTGCAGAAGTGCAAATTTTAGTTAAACTTTATGAATTTAAACTGGATCATCGATGCTTCCACATGTATTTTCCAACCATAATAACTTAGATTTTGTATAATGTAAAAATCTTTTAAGTTAACTCTTAAAAGCAGATATATTACAGCTTAGTTATAACAGGAGGAGGTAGAACATAGACTTTTGGAATTTAGCACACATTTTTTCTCAATCACATATGGAAGCAAGTGGTATTAGATAAATCAGGGGTGGAGAACCTTTTTTCTGCAAAGGGCCATATGGATATTTAGAGCATCATTTACGGGCCATACAAAATTATCACCTTAAAAATTAGCCAGCTGTATTTAGTCAAACATTTAACTCACCCCTAATGCATTGACTGGACCAGACCTGGCCCCCGGGCTGGACAATCCCCATCTCTGAAAGAAGTCATTTTATCTCTTATTCAGTGTTTATATTCAGTTCTGTCCCAGAATCATCTAGGTCAGTGTTTTTCAACCTTTTTTGGGCAAAGGCACACTTGTTTCATGAAAAAAATCACGGGGCACACCACCATTAGAAAATGTTAAAAAATTTAACTCTGTGCCTATATTGACTATATATAAAGTAATTCTCTTGAATAGGAATCAAACACAAAGAAAGTATTTTATAATTACTTTATTATGAAATATTAAGTAAACAAAATAGTGAAAAATTATAAAATTCTTGTCTTGTCTGCACCTACGGCACACCAGGCAACATCTGCCGCGGAACAGCGGTTGAAAAACGCTGATCTAGGTTACTGGGGGGAAAAATCCAAGACCAAATAAAGAAAAATTTGTATAGATGAGCTTAGTAATCTGTATGCTTAACAGATTTCCAGGCAGTACTTATATTGTTGATAGTCTAGAACTTTAGTTTGCTTCATTTTCAACTTAGATGATAATGAACTTCAAATGGTTTCTGATCATGCTTATCAAGTATATAGCACTGGAGTAGGTACTCGGCAGCTCTCAGTTACAGCTATTTATACCACAAGAGGGGTTGGCAAACTTTCTCTAAGGGGCTAGATCCAGCATGTCAAACTCACGGCCAATGGGCTGCATGTGGCCCACAATATTTTTATGGCCCAGCCAACATAACAGAATGTAAGAAGCATTTTAATAAAAATTTCATAACTTTTTTACAGTATCCTTTTATACATAATTAATGAACTATAATTTCTGCTCATGATTGATTACTGTAATAGTGTTGCATTCATTTTCCTTACATGTCTTAAGCAGAGGTGTGCCATTTCTCTCCACTTATATTAGCAGTGAATATTTTATCAGTTGATTGCCACGTCATTAGTCTTGTACTGATTTGTTTGGTGTGTGAAATAGGAAATATTTTGCTTTTGGAGAAGACGAAAAATAGGTTTATTTGCATTATGTGTATTAATTTGTGCAGTTATTCAGTGTCTGGTAAGTTAATGTTTAAGAAAACATTAATTTCTATTAAAATGTTCTATTGTTTTATACTAATGATTACTCATTTATTTGAGCCCTTTGTATTCAGCAGGTGCCTTATCTAGATAAACCTATGTTTCTATGAAAATTGAAGCTTGTTTTTATGTGGCCCACATAAATTTAAATTTTGTTTATTTGTCTCTTGTTAGCTTTTGAGTTTGACATGCTTGGGCTAGATAATACTTTAGACTTTGCATTCCATATTATAGTCTCTGTTGCAACAGTGCAACTCGGTTGTAGTGCAAACATAGCATTAGATAACACATAAATATGTCTGGTTGTATTCCAGCAAAATTTCATTTACAAAAACAGGCAGTGGGCTGACGGATTTGGCCTCAGCATACATGGTTTGCCAACCCCTGTATTTTGTGTCTAGGATCCATTTTTACAAAATGTATCTGACCGTGAAAAAGTTGAAATGGTTACTGTAAGTAGGAAGGTTAATTATGTACTATAACTAGAAGAATTTTGGCTCCTAGGTATGCGATGACAATGCAGTTTGTCTTTCGGTGCACCTTACAGATTCTGTGATAACTGTACCTTGAGCGATTAATTTAAAGTTTAAGATTGTATATATGTATGTGTGTATGTATGAATGTATATACTATATAAGTACATATTCACATAGACACACACACGAGGACTATGAGCTCCCTGCAGTTTATAGGCATTTTCACCTGTGAATGTTAAAGGAATGGTAGGCATTACAGGAAGAAATACTGCCACTGCCTCTTTTCACCATGTCAGTTGACAGGACTCAGGAATATGAGAGAAGAGTGAGCTTCCTTTCTGAAGTTGATGGTAGCTGTCAAGATTTTTGAAAAGTTAGTCCCAGAATTTAGGTGGTTTTTAAAAACAGCAGCCCATTTCTCACCTTCAGTGACATGACTTCTTAAAAAGGTAAGAAAAGACTACTTAATGATATGATGATAGGATTGTTACATAGTAAGAAAATCAAAAGCAGTGGTTCTTGCTCCTGAACTGTAAGATAAGACTTACCAGTCCCTAGTCATCTTTTAAATTCATCAATAAATAATTTAAAAATAATTTATACTAAGTAGAATAAACAATAATAATGCTTATTGCCTCATTTTAAATCTAATATTTTAATTTCAAATAAACCTTTATTTAGTTGCTGACATGTTAGAAATAATTGCTAAAGTTTTTTAGTTTGTTGCTTTGTCATATATAGTGTTAACTGGAGGTGGTTTCATTTTCTCCTCCCCATTTCTTCATAAAAGCTCATAAAGATCTAATATATAACTTTAAGTTTCCGGAATGGCAATTATTATTTATTTGCTATGTTTACAAAATATAAGAAACTGAGTTTACAGCTATTTAAGGAAATACAAATGAATGGAAATAAAAGATTTTTTCTTGGAATTACAGTGTAAACCAGGTTTTTCTTTAGTTTTACATAGTAAAAATAGAAAATGAGTGAGTTACTATTCTTTCATCACTTGATTGGCTCTAAATTCTATCCATTCTGTTATTCATGGAAAAGCATTAATTGTGGTTGTTTTATTTACATTTTAATAACTTAGGAGAGGAGTAGTTTTTTGTTTGGTTTTATTTTAAAATTTAAATATAAATTTACTTTTGTATTTGGTAACGAATTTATAGGGTGGAATTTTCATGAAGGACAGTTAAACTTTGTTTTAACTTGTATTTCAGATCATAATTGGCGTAAAATAAAATATCCCTAAATCAGGTAATAAAAAACTTAAATGGATTGTAAAAATAGCTACCTAAAATAGTAGTTTAATGTTTTCTGTACGTACATTCAGTCCCATTGTATAGTCAATCATATACTTGAATATGAATGTGAAAAATGACACCCTTTGTTCTTTCATGCTTATTCTCCCCACACTTCATTTAAATGTGTGTTATCATTGTGTCTTCATCATTTCTGAAATACCTTCATTTATTCCACTAGCATTTTAATACTTCCTGTGCGCTAGGTATTGCTCTGTGGATTGCATGATGAAAGTTGAGAGGACTTACTGCCCTTTAAGGAAGCCATATGCCCTGTGATGAAGGAGTCAGATTATGAAACAAATATTTACATTCAGAATGATGAGTGCTATGATAAAGCTACTACTGGATATTAGAGGGATAGTTTCCCAGAGCAGAGTATTCATTTTTTCTGTGTAAGAGAGAAAGTATGTTGCTAACATTACTATAATCATACTACATACATATTATATGTATAAAACTACAGACAAAGTAGAGTAAGTTAGAAAGATTTTCAGGGTCTTACATTGGTTATTTTATTTTTTATCTTTCCTCCTTCTTAATAACAACAAAATAAAGGAGGCCAAATGAATGTCATATGAATTATAGTCTTAGATAATATATATATTTTTGGTTTTAAAGTACTTTAAAATTGGGCTATTTTCAGCTATACTGAAATTTGAACAATTTGTTTAAGTAGTGTGTGGATTTTATTACTATGAAGATATATAAGAAAAATAGTAATGAAAAATGTAGCTTTTAAAAATTCAGAGTATATTTTATTTAATATCTTTATGCTTTACTTATGTGCTAGTCAGTGTGGTAATTAATAAAGATAAATAATAAGTAGTCTTAGCCTTTAAAGCATACTCTTATACTTTTCAGAGGTCAAGGATCCCTTGAGAATTTGGAGACTTGAGAATCCCCTCAGAAAATGCTTATACATATAAAATGTTATATAAAAATTTAAGGAATATTCTCTTTTTTCATTCTTAAAATCCTATTAAAATTTGTTTTAAAGAATTAAGTTAATCATGCTATATAAACTATTGATTGTTAATAGTGATGTCGACGTTCCTCTAAATAATTGGAAATTTTAGAAGTCAGAAGTTAAATTTGTAGAAGAAAAAAGGCTTAGTATATTTTCTGTTAGAAAACATTTTGTAGTAATTTGATTTTTCTGGCACCCAAAGTAAGGGAAGTAGGCGTCTTTAATTTTACTTTGTTGCAGAAGATTAAATTTAAGGTTGAGTTCCACTTTGTTTGCAATAGTTTGAAAAAGAATAGTTAATGCGGATTTAAATTTTTTTTCCTTTTAAGCTTTGTGTCTTGTAAAATGTGAGTTTGCCAAATTTTCTTCATCTGCTACAGATTAGGTATGCCATTGTTGCTGCCATGTGGCGGCGCACCCCGTGCTTCTTAAACGCACTGACTGGAGGTTTATCGCATCACTTGTTCACATGCACGGAGCCTGGTAACAGCCTCATCTGTATCTTCTTAGCTTCATTTTCTTATTTTTAAAATTTCATTATTTATAAACTCGACATAGCATATAAAAATAAAGGATAGTTTTAATGAATTAATGCTACTACAAAAAGTCATTGCTAAAACATTCATACTGAAACAGATTTTAACTGTTGTTAAAATGATCTATGCTTTATTTAAATTGTATTTATAAGCAGGCATGTTTTACCTGCCATTTTAACTTATTTGCCAAATTCTAAATATAATTTTGAAAATTGAAATAGAAACTTGTTTATGTGGCAAGTAAGCTTCAGGACTGGCTGTGTATTTTTATTGGCATGTAACAGTTAATATGAGCTTTACAAGAATTTTATGTTTAAAGAGCTAAAACAATCAACAGCTACAGTGAAAACATTTTTGTATTAAAACTTTCGTTAGTTCAGTTGTGCCACTTGGTAAATCTTGAATCCTGATTACTTGTAGACCAAGTGGATAGGCATCTCCTAAATCATTGTGTTTTAGTCTCTTAACTAGCTATAGTTCGGTAGAGAATTCATCTATTTTTTGTAGAGAATTCATCTTAATTTTTTTTTATCTCCCCCCCCCCCCCCCCCAAAGTATGTTTATTGTAAAGGACTTAAAGTATAAAGGAAAAAGGGTCATTTGTCACTGGTAATGAAACCAGTTGAAATATTTTATTTTGGTTTTATTTCCATTCATTCCCCCCCTCCCAATGTATTATTTGTTCCTTTTTTCCACTTTAGGCATAATATTTTAATAAATTGGATTACTGCATTTATTATTTTGTATCTTTTTCATATAACATTTCTAATTCTCCTAGTCATTAAATCATCTTTGAAAAATGAAAAAAACTTTTTCATGGCTGCAAAATGTTTTATCATGATAGTGATCTTCATTCTCATTACCAATGGTAACCAGAAAAAAATTTAAAGTGATTGGTTGAAACACACTCTGTCTTCTCATTCTACACTTTAGTAGAGTGATTTGGTTAACTTTAAGACTTTCCATGGGATTATTTTTTATGTGAATTCAATATAATATTTATGGTGTTTGAATTGCAGTGATTTATTGTTGTTACCAACATTTTAAAATCTTATTTTGTCAATATGTATCTAGATTTTGATAACTGAACTTTGATACTTAGATTCTCACTTTACTTTAGACTTGACTACTATTTATACAAGTTTAGAATGATGTATTAAATAGTTACATTAAAATTTTAATTTTATGTAAAATACTTCATTTGCTGTGACATTTTTTTGTCATAAATTCTGTTTTTCTGAGTTTGAATTTGATAAACATATATCCCAAATTAAACATATATATCTATATCAAGACATTATAGTTCAAAAGGTCTTTTTTGGGAGGGAGGAAATGCCAGAGTGCATAAGACCAGGAGTTTGTTACCTTAGTATGATCTATCTTTAAAAGACAGAGTAATCAGGCAAATGCTATTTATTTTCACAATTGCAACTTACAAACTCTTCTTACAGTGTCTCTGTTTTTGTATCCATTTTAACTGTTGGCCCTTGTAAGCCTTTGACTTTGTGATATCTGGTGTAGACACTGTGATCCATTTAAACTGATATTCTCGCTCTTGCTCTCAAACTTGCGCGCGCGCGTCCTTCCCCCCCCCCCCCTTCTCTCTGTCTCTCTCTCTCTCTCTCTCCTCATTTTCTCTTGTCTCTTAAAAAAAAACTCAAAACATGTATCTCTGTTGAGCCCTACATTTCCTATAGTAGTCAGTGTACCTTTGTTTTTTTAGAAAAGATAAAACAACCACTTTAATGCTGCTCAGGTATGTTATATGGCATTCTAAGACAATCTAAGAGCTTGATTGCAATTAAATTCTTTAATTAGGGATATTGATTGTTAAGTTGATCAGCAAATGTTAATAGCATAACTGCAGGATTCATAGAATTCAAGTCTTTGAAAGTTTATATTTGATTCCTATATAAGTTAGTTCACTGTTGAAGTATTGGATTTTTTTAAAATTGCTTAGATAATAACAATTTCCAAAGTTAGTTTTCATTTCTAATTAAATTTGATTTTTTAAGTAACTGATGCCCCCATGTGGTGAAAGACATTTTGCTTTTGTTTGAATTTGGAGAATGACTATATACAGTGTTTTGACATATCTTAATTATAGTGGATATTAATGTTCATAAATGTGCTGTTGACAAAGATACATAATTGAATTTTGTAAAGCTCATTGCCATAAATTCACAGCCTTACCCTGTATTGTCTCAGAAGTGCATGTAACCAAGCACGTACAATGAGACAAAATATTAAAAGCTATTTAATTACAAATAGCTTAGGGATTTTCTGATCTTATATGTGATTTCTTATGTCTTTGTTTTTGTGTCTCACATAGGTGATGTACAGTTCATTGATTATGAATATTCTGGATACAACTACCTGGCATATGATATTGGAAATCATTTCAATGAATTTGCAGGTAAAATCCAGGGCTTAACTAGTGGAATAGCATAATGTAACTTTGATATGACACTTTTAGAATTTTTTTTCTTTAAAATAGATAAACTGGGAAGAGGAGCAAAATTCTTTTAACTTTTTTTTCGGTCCTTTGTTCTTTATTTTATTTTATTTTATTACTGGTAGATAGAGAAGACTTCTTCATTAATGTCTTAAGGGAAATCTTTTATAATAACAAAGGTACAATATGCTAATTAGACTGGATATCCTTCTGGATGTCCTTCTGGACAACCTTCCGGACGAAGTAGAGGCTGCGAGGGAAGCATGGGTCCTGGGTGCCAGAGGGAAGTGTGCCGGCAGCCGGGGGAAGGAAGGCCTACTCTTGCATGAATTTTGTGCATCGGGCCTCTAGTAAGAAATAACTATTGTGGCTTCTATTAGGGCATGACATGGTGCAAGGTGCTTTTACAAGTCTTATTTTACCTTATCTTTTTTTCTTTACCACATTTTTTTAAGTTAGGTAAATATTCCCAGTATACAGATTAAGGAAATAACTCATCAAGGGCACAGTAAAATGCAGAGACTATGATTTGAAACCGATTTTAAAAATCATTTAAAAGCCTTTGCTATTTCCATTGTGTACTAGGGCTTTTGAAATGTTGATTAATTAAAAAGCTTGAGAGTTTTTTTTTTTTTGTGTATGTGTGTTTGTGTATGTGTGTCTTTGACTGAATAATTGAAAATTTGGTCATTTTACCCCTGGAAATGATTCCATTAGTACTGTCAAGTATGAAAGGTTTAGTTTTTTTAATGTAAATGGAATTAATTTAAAATATATTTTATGACTATATTTAGAAACATGAAATGCTCTAGAACTCAGGAATAAGAAATTCCCCTAGATGGCTTACACCTAGTAGAAATTTTTCATTGCTAAATTTGTATTTGTATACATCCATGCATTCATATATATATTTTATTTTATTATTTTTAAAAAATATATTTTATTGATTGAGAGATAGTTAGAAACATCGATGAGAGAGAATCATTGATCAGCTGCCTTTTGCACACCCCCTACTGGGAATGTGCCTGCAACCAAGGTAATGCCCTTGACCGAAATCAAACCCGAGACCTTCCAGTCCGCAGGCTGACGCTCTATCCACTGAGCCAAACCGGTTCCAGCCATATATATATTTTAATATACTTTAGGTAATTGGCTGGGGGAAAAGTTTCAGTTTACATGTATTCAATAATTTCCCTACACTATGCTTATCATATGCATGTCATATCTCTACATATATACTTGACATATTTCTACATCTCTGTAGGAAGGGAAAGCAGCTGTTTATATAATGAATAATCATTGTGTTAGTATTAAGGAAGCCACTGCCATGGATATGAAAGAGGAAACTCCACTGATATTAGTAAGATTTTGTGTAGAAAAGAAATTAAGCTAACAATTGAAAGGTAGCATAGAAAAATGGTAGCACTTGAGAGTTAGGTAGCATTTGCATGTGCAGATAGAATAGAAAGGAGGGTACTATAGGAAGAAGGGAGAAAACTTCCAAGATGAGTGTACTTATTATTTTTTAAACATGTTTTATTGCTTTTTTTTTTTTTTTTTTTTTTTTTTTTTTTTTTTTTTTTTTTTTTTTTTTTTTTTTACAGAGAGGAAGAGAGAGGGATAGAGAGTTAGAAACATCAGTGAGAGAGAAACAGCTGCTTCCTGTAACTATAATATTTGTAAAACTTAATATCAGGTGTGTGTATGAGGTTTCAATATAAAGTATCTTTCTTACCCTGTGAGTAACAGTCAAGAAAGATTTAGAGCCATAGTTCTAGGAAATACTGTAGATATTAATGTTCACAAGGATCTTCTGGGCTGCTTAGTGAAAAGATTTGGTGCTTCTGATGCATGTAGTTCAAGCTTCACACAGGAATAATTGAAGCAATGTGAAATGATTATGGTGGTCAACTGTATTGAGCATTCAAACTTAAGAATACATTATGATTGGTTTATTTTAATACATGCTGATTAAATTAGTATTTCAGCCAGATGTTTTATTTTTTTCTCTGAAAATTATGTAGATAGTAAGGTATACTAGTATATAAGATAATGTGTTTTTAAAAGTTTCATTGTACTTTTTCCCCCCACTTTAGGTGTGAGTGATGTAGATTATAGTCTCTACCCAAGTAGAGAACTTCAGGACCAGTGGCTGCGTTCTTACCTTGAAGCCTACAAAGAATATAAAGGCTTTGGGACTGAAGTTACTGAAAAGGAGGTAGAAATACTCTTCATTCAAGTCAATCAGTTTGCTTTGGTAAGTTTAAATTTTAACAAAAGATTCTTCATATGATTTAACAACTGTTTAAATTTTCATCTTATAAAACAGTTTTCTGTTTTGAATTTTGTGAATTTTTGTTCAAAATAATGACAAAATGCGATTCTTTACAATTTTTCCATTATAGTATTTTTGAGGACAAAGATTTTGTTTTATTCACGACCATATTTCCAATCCCTAGAACAATAGTGCCTGGCTACTTGATAAGTGCCCAGTAATTATTTGTTTAACTAATGGATTCCAGTTAGAGTTAGGATTATTTGTGAATTAGTGTTTGTAGAGGCCCAGTGCACAAAATTCATGTGGGGTAGAGGGTCCCTCAGCCCGGCCTATACCTTCTCACAATCCAGGACTCCTTGGGGGATGTCCGACTGCTGACCAGGACCCCTCGGGGGATGTCCGACTGCTGATTTAGGCCCCATCATGAGATTGAGTCTAAACCAGCAGTCGGATATCCCTCTCACAATCTGGGATCTCTGGCTCCTACCTGCTCGCCTGCTTGTCTGCTCGCCTGCCTGCCTGCCTGATTGCCCCTAACTGCCTCTGCCTCGACTCCTCTGCCGTGGCTTCGTCAGGAAGTTTGTTCAGCTGTCTGGTCTAATTAGCATGTTATGCTTTTATAATTATAGATGTTCTCTTTTTTCTTAGTTATGAAAACATATTCAAGGACAGATTTATGGGAAACGAGGTTTTCACAATGCATTCACCATTACATCTTAATGTTAACATGACAAAAGTTTATTGGTTTTATAACTTTACTTTATCAGTTGTTTTAAGTAAAATATGGTTTTCCATTATACATGTGCAAGTTGAGCTCATAACTCCAACTCATTTAAATGCTTTTCTTGAGACAGTCTCTCCATTTTTTTGGGTATGTAGTAGATGTGCTCTATGTGTACTTTCTATGTAATTTCATAGAATGTTAGAATAGCATGCAGTGCAGCTTGCAAGCCACATGCCGCTCTTTGGCCCCTTGAGTGTGGCTCTTCCACAAAATACCATGGCCTGTACAAGTCTGTTTTGGAGAAGTGGCATTAGAAGTTTAAGTTAAAAAAATTTGGCTCTCAAAAGAAATTTTAATTATTGTACTGTTGATATTTGACTCTATTGACTAATGAGTTTGCCGACCACTGCCATAGGGTATATGTACCACTCTATTATATTTATTTGAATTTTAGAGAGAGAGATGAAGGGAGAGAGAGAAATATCCATGTGATATCTTAACCTTGATTGGCTACCTCCTGGCAGGGATTGAGCCTGCAATCCCAGCATGTCCCCTGACTGGGAGTTGAACTTGCGTCCTTTTGGTACATGGGACAAGGCCCAATCAACTGAGCCACACTGGCCAGGGCTTTATCGCTCTTTATCTAGTCATCTTTCGAAGGACATTTTGGTTGTTTCCATGTCTTGGCCACCGTGTGTAATGCTGCAATGAACATACAAGCTTCTCTGGGATCTCTGGCTTTTTACATATATGCACCCCTATGTAAGGATATACAGGGGTGCATATATCTTTGCCAATAAATGTTTTAAATATTTTCAGGTAGACATTCAGAAGAAGGGTTGCTGGGTCATATGGTAACTATATTTTCAAATTTTTGTGGGACCTTCTTAACTGTTTTCCATGGTGGTTTTACCAGTTTACATTCCCACCAGCAGTGAATGAGGTTTCCTTTTTTCCACACCTCCAACACTTGGTATTACTTGTCTTGTTGATAATCGCCATTCTAACAGTGTGAGGCATTACCTCATTGTAGTTTTGATTTTCATTTCCCTAACAGCATGTTTTCATAAATCTTTCGACCACTTGTATGTCTTCCTTGGAGAAGTGTCTGTTCTAGTCCTCTGCCCATTTTTTAAATGGATTGTTTGTGTGGTATTGAGCTGTATGAATTCTTTATATATTTTGGATCTTAGCACCTTGTTGGAGCTGTTGTTTTCCAGATAACATCTTCCATTTGGTTGATTGCTTTTTTGTTTTGATGGCTATTTCTCTTGCTGTGTAGAAGCTTTTTAGTTTTACATAGTCCCTTTCATTTATTTTTGCCTTTACCTCTCTTGCCTTTTGGGTCAAATTTATAAAATCTCGTCTAAGACCAAGATCATAAGTGTAACACCTATGTTTTCTTTTATGCAGCTTTGGGTCTTATATTTAGGTTTTTGATCCATTTTGGATTAATGTTCGTATAAAGAATAAACTGTAGTTTCATTCTTTCCTGTGAGTGGCTTTCAAGTTTTCTTAGCACAATTTGTTGAAGAGGTCTTTTCCCTCCATTTTATGTTTGTGGCTCCTTTAAACTACAAAGCATTATTTTTATTTATTTATTTATTTTTTAATATATTTTATTGATTTTTACAGAGAGGAAGGGAGAGGGATAGAGAGCCAGAAACGTCGATGAGAGAGAAACATCGACCGGCTGCCTCCTACACCCCCCCCCCCCCCCCCCCCACCGCGGATATGCCCGCAACCAACGCACATGCCCTTGACCGGAATCGAACCCGGGACCTTTCAGTCCGCAGACCGACGCTCTACCACTGAGCCAAACCGGCTTCGGCTACAAAGCATTAAATGAGGTTGACTGGACCGGTTTTGCTCAGTGGATAGAGCGTCGGCCTGCGGACTGAAAGGTCCCGGGTTCAATTCCGGTCAAGGGCATGTACCTTGGTTGCGGGCACATCCCCAGTGTGTGTGTGTGGGGGGGTGCAAGAGGCAGCTGGTCGGTGTTTCTCTCTCATCGACGTTTCTAACTCTCTGTCCCTCTCGATTCCTCTCTGTGTAAAATCAATAAAATATATTAAAAAAATAAATAAATAATAAGGGGGTTGAAAAACACACACACAATGAAATGGAAAGATATTTTGTTTATGTATTGGAAGAATCAACAATATGTCCTAAAGCAATATGCAGATTTAATGCAAGCCCTATTAAAATTCCAATGAAATTTTTTAAAGAAATAGAATAAAAAATCATCAGATATTTATGGAATTACAAAAGACCCCGAATAGCCAAAGCATTCCCGAGAAAAAAGAATGAAGCCTGAGGGTATCACATTTTCTAACTTCAAATTTTACTACAAAGCGATAATAATCAAAACAACATGGTATTGGCTGAAAAACAGACACGAGGACCTATGGAACAGAACTAGGAGTCCAGAAATAAACTTACATGTATTTGGGTAAATAATTTACAATAACTGATTTTTTAAAGGAGATCTTTTTAGGGTAAAAGTTTTTGAAATAATATTTCTAGTTAAAGTATTTCTTGGAAGTTTTATTGGTGTTATCAGAATCTTCAAATACCATGTTTAACTGACAATGATCATAAAGCATGCACACAATGATTTTACAGCTCCTAATTACACAGCTATTGGTTTTCTCCTAAGATCCATTTTTCTCTGACATAAATAACCTCTTAGTTTATGTTGTGATTGGTGTGCAGAATTGTTGGATCAATTCAAATTGTTTCCAGATATTTGTTACTCCTAGAACATTCTTCACACTATTTTTTTCTTTTTTTGGTTTGAGATTTGGATTTTTTATTTTGTTTATATTTTTATGTCAAGTAACCATGTTCTTTGATAATGTATTTTATATGAGAGGTTGTTATCAATTAATATCATTAAAAACACTTTGCCAAAAAAAGAAAAAAAAAAGAATAAAAGAAACTTGAATAAAAAGACCACTTAACCAACACCTATCAGTGCTGATGCTGAATTCTGCCTATATAAAACAGATTATAGAAGTTGGGTTACAGTTTTTAAATGACTGTAGTTTATTATAGCCTCTTATAGTATAGATATAAGTGATTTATAGCCATCTAGATGACTGTACATTCAATTATTACCTTATTTTAGATATTTTATATAAAAAAGCATCAATAACATTTTTTATGGAATTGATGAAAAAGAGAAAAATTAAAAATATGATATTTGCTTTACAAAGAAATGAATTGTCGCCTGGCCTGTGTAACTCAATGGTTGAGAGTTAACTCATGCACCAAGAAGTGAATGGTTTGATTCTAGGTCAGAACACATTCCCACATTGCGGGCTTGAACCCTGGTAGCAGGAGGCAGCTGGTTGATGTTGATGTTTCTCTTTCATTAATGTTTCTATCTCTCTTTCCTCTCCCTTCTCTCCCTTCCACTCTCTCCAAAAATATAAAATGAAATAAAAAAAATCAAAAAGGGAAATGAATTATTGTAATTCTTGTTTTTTCTGACTTTCTTTTTAGGCTTCTCATTTCTTTTGGGGATTGTGGGCTTTGATTCAAGCCAAATATTCCACTATTGAGTTCGATTTCCTTGGGTAAGTTTAATTTTACTGTATGCATTATATTTATCTCTACTTTTGAATTAACATTGAGAACTCATAGGGGACATTGTAGTTATTCTTTTCAATCAAATGTTATAAAGTTTATATACATTTAATACATGGTTTGAGAGGAAATCTGGTTTAATCTGTTAAATGTACTTAATATTAGAAAGGTGTCCAGTAGATGGTGCAATAAACTAAAAATATATTCTTTGAAAAAAATCGTAAAATTAAAAAAAAAATTCAGTTGAGAAGGGGTGAGTGGAAATAAAGGGGAGGATTAAGTTTTCAGCTCTGACTAATTTTGTTATTCTCTTTTCTCACTAGATATGCAATTGTTCGTTTTAACCAGTACTTTAAAATGAAGCCTGAAGTGACTGCATTAAAAATGCCTGAGTAAAGATGTAATTATTCTCAAGTAGCTGAACAATGCTTGTGAATCTTTTCTTGAGAAATTCCGAAAAGCCAATTATTTGTTAAGATTCTGTTATTTAATTTGGTTATCTTGCTTTACAAATTATGCCTCTATCAACCAATTTGTTTTTTAAATGGACTGAATGATGTAAAAAAGATATATATACCTACTGCTGTCAGTATGCAGTACATTAGAAATTTGTTAAATCTACAAAATAGGTATAAAGATGTCAATTTAATCTTTTTGATAATTTAATTTGCTATATGTGAATTATTTATTATAAATGTAACATGGTTCTGTGACTGCTTTAATCTATCTCATCCGTTAAGTGTAAGCAATGAAAATGTTCCAGAAGAAACTTTTTTTTTTTACTTTAAGATTAATTTTAGTTAAAAGTTCTAGATGTTCATTGTAACTTTTTTATCTTGATACACTGTAAGTAAAATGGATCATTTACTCTTGAAATGCCAGATATAGATTACTTAGGATGTTCTTGGAAAAATACCTGTCTAGGAGTGTGGGATACATTCACTATCTATGGTAGTGGAACATCTTTTTGAACTGAATATTGGAAACTGTTTCGTTGGGGGGAATTTACCTTAGAATTTAATTCTCCTCTTCCTACAGAGTCTGGCAGTATAAATATTTACTGTATAATCCTAGAATAGATATGAGATTTTGTGTCCCCAAAATTTGTATTCAGTAATGTTCTCATATACTAAATGTGGCCATTTAAGTTACTAGTTTACTTTTAAGATTTTAGTGTATCAAGTTTTTTCTAACCAAATGTTTTGTTTTACATATTGAGATGTTCTATGTCTTTGTTAATAAATAATAGTAGAACAATTGCTAATTAAAAAAAAAAAAAGATAGAACACTTGGGAACAAGAAAATGTCAGTTAGATTAATTCTATTTTACCCCTGTAGATTCATTTTTTACATTTGGTTTCATGTTTTAGTTTGGCTTCATATCTTTGGAATGATAGCAAATGATTGCTTGATAGATACATGTAGGTTCAGAGAAGTTGAGGTGTTAAAATAATTAAATAAGGAACATTTAAGGTATTGATCTTGTACACTTAATCTGATATATCAAAATGTGAATTAAGCAGAAATACTCCTTGTAGGAAGGATTCTGTTTTTATTACTCTTGATTTTGTTTGTGTATTTTTTACTTTATTTTGTTTTGAAGTGAGGATGATAATTATTTGGAAGGGAGTTAGATCTTTGGGATAAGTAAGCTTCATGTTTTGAAGACTGCCATGTGGAGTTGAGTAGTCATGGTTGTCTTTACTTAGAAAATTAGTCTGACAAACTTTTCACTTTGGTCACATAAGTGCCCATGTACAAAGTTGGCTTAATGGATCTGCATATTCAGAATATGCAACTACACATTATCCTCTGAGAAATCTTCTGAGGAGTCTGATATATTATTCCAAATGACTTATATTCTCAGATAAGTGCTTTAAAATACTTGGGTTATCTCAAGATGTTTAAAGGTAATCAAGTAGAAACACTTACAGGCCATTTTAAATGGTAAATTCTAGTTACATAAATAGAATATGAAAATCTGTTTATATCTATAACAGTGTTAGACCAATATTTGTTTTCTTCCTCCCCAATGTTAAAAATGTTCACTTCTGTTTTTATAAACCACATTGTTGTAGAATCAATAGAATTTTACTTAATTGACTGAATGGAACCAATTAAACAATGAACCTTTTTATATAATGTTAGAGTGTACTTGAAAAATTGTTTTTGGTGGGATTTTCATCTTTGGTTGGAATATTATTTTCAATGATGAAGAATATGTAATACTCTTGATTTTTTTGCTTTCTGACTTAAAGTGCAACATTATATATCTACATCAGAGGGGAGAAGGTCATTTTTCTACCTTATTTCATATTCTTCAAACTATTTTGAATAGAGATTCACTGAGTCATTGTTGATAGACTCTGCATACTAGTTGTGACACTATAAAAAACATTTCAAAAAGGTCATATAGAAATGAATGTAAAGGTTAATAAAGGCTCTCACTCTAGTCCTAGGAGTATCTAGTGGATCTTGGGAACATAATCAGATAATTAAAATATTTCCCTCATTCTTTGGTTAGGATTTAGATGTGATGATCCCAGTTCTGTACAGATTTTTTTTTGGATCAATTAATTATCAAAATTAATGCTGTGCAGGCTATTAATTGGGTTCTAAATTGCTTTCCTTTTTGTTGACCATTTAAAAGATTCTAAAGGAAAGACAGCTCTCTAAAATGTGTCCTGTGGCTTCTTGACATGTCTGTTGCCTTTTTATGTTAAGCTAAGGAACTTGAATGCCTTACCTAATAACTCGTAAGCTCATTTTGTAAATATGAAAATGATTGTTAGAGAAGTGGCATTCATGTACTACGCCGGAAAATACCGTATACTCATTGTTAGTCAATAGACCATAGTGGCCTGGATGCTTTAACAAGCAGAATTCCACAGTTATTTCCCTCTTTGTTCTTTACATACTTGTTTAGAGCTTACCTGACCAGTAATATTTGATTCCCCCACCTTCCAACAACCAACCCCCATGCTACCACCATTTTCTGGAAATCAAAGAGATGTGGTAGTAAATCACACTGTTCACATGATCATTTTAGATCAAAATGAGCACAAAACTCATCAACTAGATCTGCCTGGAATGTATATAAAACAGTGTAAATAAAAATTTGTAAATTAGTGTGAATTGTATCTTGCATATGAGATTGTGTATTGTTTTTCATTATTTTCCCTTTTAAAGAAAATTTTCTGTAAAGAACTGATCCAGTTCTTTGGTTTTATACTGGAAACAGCCAGCAGTTCAGGCTGCACAGCAGGATAAGAGGAACTGGAGATAGGGTTTATCAGTTTTTGTTAATGTCAGTACTTATTAATGTAGCCTCTCAGTGCCTAATATGACTTCTTCATTCTTTAATTGTTTTTGTGAGGTTAGATTCCTGCAAGTGGTCAATTAATATACACAGAATTTCATTCCATGATTTCAAGCTAAAACAAATTAAAATATAACTTAATGATTGCAAACTGAAGTATTATCTCTTCCTATTTCCAAGTTTAACTTTTTTCCTACCATAAAAATATGAAATTTTTGATATCTCAATGTGAATCTAAATCCCATGTGTACAAGAGATATGGTAAATAATAGCTGTTAGTTTAACCAAAGCATATCTCATGTGGCTTCTCTAGATATAAAGTTGTTTATTATGGGATTGTAAACAACAAAAAGATGTAATATTTTAATGACTGCTATTTACTTTTTTGCTGGACTAAAAATATTTGAACTTCATAAATATGTAACTAAAACTTCCAGAGTAAAAGAAAAAAGTCTCCCCACACACTTTGTTACAAGTTAAAAATCTCCACTTTACTAATCATACAGGTATTTCATTACACAAAGCTTTCTATATAATTTTAATTGCTTTATAATATGCGAATACTATCAGTTTGATTTTCTGCTTTAAATTACTTTTAATAAAATTGATAATGCATTCTAAAGTGTTACAGATTTCAGTTGATAGACAAAGTTAATAGTGCTTTGTGCTAGGAGAGTTTTGTTATTGGCAGCAACTTGCACAACTTACACAAAAAGCAAATGCTAGTAACTGTTAATGCACAGATGAAAATGGAATTATATGTGATTAAAGAAGTTTTATATTTATTTGAAAGTTAATTTGCTCTGATTTTTCTTCAGTTCAGTAGATTTTAGAATGACCTTTGACTGGAAACTTAGTTACATAAGGCAGTCTGTTTCTTCTTAAAGAAATTAGTTATATTGAACTGCCTTTTTATTTCTTGTTATATAACACCTTATAGCGTTACATTTTGGGTTTAATATCTTTGGACAGAAAAGCATATCAGTTATTTTAAATGAACCTCCCCCTATCTTTGAAGCTTAGTCTCCAAAATGTGTTACTATAAAAGAAAATGCTTTGGATTGCATTACTTGAAATCTTGAAAACTGAAATTAATAAGATACATTACATAATGAATTAGATTTTTCTGGACACAATTTTTATGCTAAAAATTCTATTTCAGGATCACAACTTGAAATAGAAAATTTCACTATTTCAATTAAAAACTAATGGTAGTGCTTATACAGAAGATCCATTTGTGTTGGACATCCAAAATTAAAGCTTTAAGTAGATTTCTGTGCTGAAATCTGCTTTCTCTTCTTACCTATGCACTTACTATGCTACTGATGTTATATCAAACCGGTTAAAATAAAATGTGTTCATTATAAATCCTATAGCTTTTCTAGTTACAAAAAAATTGTGTAAAATACTCAATATTTTTGTTTACATCTTAATCCATTAAAGGTATAATTACCCATTAATCATTTTAACAAATATAAGATACTTATAAAAATTGAAAAGGCTACATAGTGTATTTAAACTAGTTAGTGATGAATAAGAAAAAGCTGGATAATTTAAGTTGTTACATTAGTTAAATATTAAAACTCTAACAGGAACTTTCAAAGCTAGGTTGAGACTTGATGGTATCCATGTAAATTAGTTTATGTGACCTGGAAAAGACCCCCAAAAAGCGGTGGAGAAAATGTGAATATTTGCTTGCTATTGTTGAGGTGTGCTGCTACTTCAGTTTTGGTAGTGACACACTAACATTTTTATTGTCCAATAATCTGAAGAAGTTTCCTTTTGTTTGTGCTAAAGTAACTATAAATTGGTGGGATTTGGGAAGGGAAAACTTTTAAACTATCTAGGAGCCGTTGTACAGCTGGATGAAGAAGTTTCCATGATGTGAAATATTTGAATTTTAAATATTATTAAAAAAAAAAAGAAGATATGGCATCATTCCATGTTCATAAATGATAATTTCAGATGCAGGAGGAAAAAACCCCAGCGAATAATTGTATGCTAAATTGGGAAATTGGTAGAAAGCTTAAATTTATGTTTATCAAATGTGAACCATAGTAGTATAATGCTGCTTTGTATATACTGTAAGTGCTACAAATAGTCTCAGCACTGAAAATGTATTGATACCTCTCAAACGAATGCAACTTTTGGAGGTGTTTTGATATGCCTCAGAAAGTATCTGAGAACTTATTAATTTGGTAATGAAGATACTTCCTGTTTGTTGTTGCATATTTTTATGTTTAAAATTTAATTTTTACATTTTTACTACTGTTAATTTAAGTAAAACTTGTTCTGTGGACAGAATGGGGTTGCCAGTGAAGAAAATAAAAAACAGCCTCGTTCATGTAACTGCTTACGTAAAAATATGTTTTTGCTCAATGTTCGTAAATGTTTAATGAAGCTGTTAGTGTTTCTGTTTAAAATATAAGTGATGTTTAGGCTTTATTTCTGTTTAATAAGACCTTTTACCATTGATTAAATGAAGGAATGTATCTTTTTGAAGAGATTTATATTCTGTAAATAAAAAATTGGTTGTAACAATAAAGTTGGGTTCTAGTTGCAGCGTCTCCATAAATCTTGTCACTTTGACTAATTTTTGTGGTTTGCTTTTGTGGAAAAACAAAATACTTTAATGTTAGTGTATAACTATTTGAAGTCATTTTTAAAAAATATATATATTATTGATTTTGTACAGAGAGGAAGGGAGAGAGATAGAGAGTTAGAATCATCGATGAGAGAGTGTTATCGATCAGCTGCCTCTTGCACACCCCCTACTGGGGATATGCCCGCAACCAAGGTACATGCCCTTAACCGGAATCGAACCTGGGACCTTCCAGTCCCCAAGCTGATGCTCTATCCATTGAGCCAAACTGGTTTCGGCTGAAGTCATTTTTAAGTTTCTACTTCTCTGGTTTTATAATAAAGAGTTGAAAGGTTTTAAATAAGTTAAAAAAAAAATTGGCTGAGACAAGAGTATAGAATATTATAAAACTTATAAACAAATTCTGTTTACCTAGTGTAAAAATTCATTATTCTTTTAACCATTATACTTTGTGTCTTCACTGTGGGTGGTGCTGGAAACATGACACTGTCTGGGACTTAGCATCTCCAGTCTATGAAGGGAGTATCCATTCAGCTAGCACTTATTAATGTCAGGTAATGTGCTGGATGGAGATACAATCTCTATCTTCCAATAATGTTTATCATGAGATCAATTCTCGGCATAGTAAAGTCAGCAGTGAGTGGCTGTGTGTGGGTGTGCGAGTGTTTTACAGAATGCTTTCCAATTTGGGTTTATGTGGTGGTTTCTAATGATTAGATTGAGGTTATTTTCAGCCAAAATACTAAAAAGGTGATGTGTCTCCTTAGGGTATCACATCTGAGGAACTCATTGTTGATACTAGTTTTGATCACTTGATGAAAGTACTGTTCCGTGTTTTCACTGAATATTTTCCTCCTTGTAAATAATAAGCAACCTTTGAGGAGATACTTTAAGATTATGTAGTTATTTTGATGTGTTTTGTCTGTTTTTCAACATTTCCTCTTTCCTGATTTAGCAACACTTGATAATTGCCTAAACCAATTTTTATTGTGATGGCTAAAAAATGTGTATTTTTCAATTCTACTCCATACTCCAAACACTCTGTATCAATCTACTTATTATATTCCGTTGATGTAGCTGTTTTTTAAGTATAGACTCTCAGGTTTCTATTTTCAGTGGATTATGTTACTGGACATTTGTATTGATATTAAAATTGTATGAGACTTTGCTTTGGGGAACTTTATCAGATCTGGTTCCTGTGACATTTTTATATGCACCAATATTTTTTGCACATTTTACCCCACTTTCTAATTTTGTACCTTTCCTTCCTGAGCCCTGGAATCAACCATTTCTCCAAGGAGCCTAGTTCTTTTTAGAGGGAATAATACTCAGAAACTTAGGTCTAGAAACTATGCTTATTGTTCCTGGGATATCATTGATCCTACCTGGCAAAGCAAGAAAACACCCCACCTCTTACATTTTATGTAAATTTATCTTTTAGAAATTGAGATCATACTGACAACTTCAATTTCTAATTCAACTTCACAGTTTTTCCTTTCCTCCCATTTCATAATTTTTTTTTCTTACTCTGATAACAAAGATATGTATTTTTATTTATAAATTTTATTGATTTTGTACAGAGAGGAAGGGAGAGAGATAGAGAGTTAGAAACATCGATGAGAGAGAGTAACCGATCAGCTGCCTCTTGCACACCCCCCACTGGGAATATGCCCGCAACCAAGGTACATGCCCTTGACCGGAATCGAACCTGGGACCTTTCAGTCCCCAAGCCGACGCTCTATCTATTGAGCCAAACCGGTTTCGGCAAGATATGTATTTTTGTTAAGAGTAACATACAATTGGTGTGCCTTAGCTCTGGATTAAAGTGGTGTCTCCCCATTTTCTCATTTTAATTAAGCATCTAGTGGGAAGGGATACTTTGAAACTGATTTTAAAAAATTAATTTTAGCATCTATTTGGCAGTTTTGCCTGCAACAATCATTGTGATGTTTACTGGATGCTGATTTCCTATTCCCTCTTTACTCCTGCACTCATAAACTGTACTTTCACTGTAAGAAAGAGCTGTACCTTTCTTATTCAACTCAATCAGTAAGGACACAAAGGCATTTAATTCTATGAGCCAAACTCTGTAACAGTCATTTTGTTGCTCAGTTTGTCCCAGTTTGGTGATTGAGAGCTCCTTCAATTTGGCTGCTGTATCATTTCATCATGCCCACATTATTTTTTGAGCACTTCCCTTTCCTGCAACATAAAGACATTCCTGGCTAGGCTTGTTCCTTCCTTGCCCTAACAACTCTCAGCTCAACTATTTCTTCAAGGAGCTCTGACACTTCATCTTTAGAATATTTAGAAACATCTAGTGCCAGGTGTATTCATTGTTCCTAAATTCATTCTAAATTCTGTCATTTGACAAAATTAGGAAATTGCATGTAACATAATTTTTAGCATACTTAACACCTGTATATATCCTGATCCATCTGTTTTTGTAACTTTATTTTGATCATTTTAGACTTCTAAAAAAGTCAGTAGAATAGTTAAATACACTTACATATATTCTTTTTCACAGTACTCTAATATTTTACTTCCTTTATTTTATTTCTTATTTCTTACTGTGAATTATTTAAGAGCAATTTGCACACAAATATTCTTTGCCCCTCAAAACTTGTATTTCCTAAGTACACTGTTTTCTTACCTCCACTGTTTCTGATGAGTTGGTGATTATATATTTTTATTGATTTCAGAGAGTAAGGGAGGGGGAGAGAGAGAGAGACATCCATGATGAGAGAGAATCATTGATTGGTTGCCTCCTGCACACCCCCTACTGAGAATCAAGCCCACAACCTGGGCTTGGGCCCTCATGGAATTGAACCTCCTGGTTTATGTGTCAACACTCAACCACTAAACCACACCAGCTGAATGTTTTGCCAATTATTTCAGTTGTAGAATTTTTATTTGATTATTTTTAGAGATTCTGTTTTGCTTTTCCAATTTCTAATTCCTGATGAGCAGAGTTTTTATATCTCTGAGTATGCTGTGATAGGTGCTTTAAAATTCTTGTCTATTATTTTCAACAGCTGGGTCAATCTCAGGGACCTTCTATTAATTTTCTTTTGAATATACATTTTCCTCTTTGTATATATAGTAGTTTTGATTTGTGTCCTAGATAGACATTATGATTGATATATTGTAGATATGCTTGATTTTGGTGTGATCCTCTGGAAACTATTGATTTTGTTTATTTTAACAGGCATGTATCTTGGCTATACTCAAACCTCAAATTCTCTGGCTGCTGTTAGTTGCGGAGTAGCTAAATTTTTTGACAATGTATATGCAGATTTTAGTGCCATTTCTCTCTGGATCCTTCTTGGAATTTCTTTTCATACTTTCCAGCTAATGAGGTTGCTTTCAACTCTGTTCTTTAGTTCTTCAAGTAAGGCTGTATGTTTTCTGAGTTTTAGCTGTTCCATAAACCTCTGACTTGTGGCTTAATGTTAACAAAATGGGCAACTTAATGCTATTGTCTTTTTCTAAGTGTAAAATCTGCTCTAGTTATATTTTGCTGTTGGTTGCTCTCCAGTGCGTTTAGGTAGTTCTGTATATCACTAGAAGCCTGCTGCACAGATTCTTGCACTGGTAGGGGCCCTCCACCTGGCCTGTGAGGATTGGGTCCCAAATGGCGGTTCTTGGGTGACGCACCCAGAATTGGGCTCCCTCCTCTCTTCTCCCAATATTATGTCACTTTCTATCTGTCTTGCTTCTTTCACTTTACCCTAAGTTTAGCAGTAATTGATGACTTGTGGGCACTAATTTAGCTGCAAAATGCAATTATTATTTTTTAAAGTATATTTTATTGATTTTTTACAGAGAGGAAAGGAAAGGGATAGAGAGTCAGAAACATCGATGAGAGAAACATTGATCAGCTGCTGCCTGCACACCTCCCACTGGGGATGTGCCTGTAACCAAGGTACAGGCCCTTGACTGGAATCGAACCTGGGACCCTTCAGTCCAAAGGCCGACGCTCTATCCACTGAGCCAAACCCGTTTTGGCAAATGCATTTATTTAGCAAATAGGACTTACTTAGCCTGGAATCTAGTTGGCCTAGGGCAGGACCCTGCTCAATGTCAGGCTCCTGCCCAGACCCTTCCACCCAGGTGGAGTCCTGTGGCAATAGGAACCTCCTTCCCACCTGAGCTGCTCCTTTGCCTCCTTCCCTCCCGCTGGTGCTACTTTCTGCCCAGAAGGAGGGAAGCTGCAGCCGGTTTCCCAGCCGATAGTGGTAGTGGGAAAATTTGCTGCCTCCACTGGAAATTGATATTGAGTGGATGGGCCAGTGAGGGCACCAGATGTTGGGGCTCAGCCAGTAGGTCCTACACATCCCATCATTTAGCTAATTGAGTTGAAAAGTTTCTGTGAGGGCCAGACCCATGACCTCTGAAATGGGCTAGAGGCCTGGTGGGGAGCAAGACCTGAAGTGAGGAGCTAATGGGCTAGAGGCCTGGTACACGGATTTGTGCATTGGTGGGATCCCTAGGCCTGGCCTGCAGGGGTCAGGCTGAAACCAGCTCTTCGACATCCCTTGAGGGGTCCCGGATTGTGAGAGGGCAGTTCTTGGGTCATGCACCCTGGAATCAGGCTCCTCCTTCTCTGATTCTGGGTGCATTACCCGAGAACCACAGCTGCCAAGTCACCACAACTCAGCAGCTCCTGCATTGAGCGTCTGCCCCCCTGGTGATCAGTGCACGTCATAGCTACTGGTCTGCCAGTTGGCCAGTTGCTTAGGCTTTTATATATATAAATATCAAGTTGTATCTCTGAGAACACTGATACAATATGAGCTAGTACACCATCACTCAAAGTATTACCTTTTTATTATAGCTTTTTTTAGTTGGCAATATAATTGACTAGAGGCCCAGTGCATGAAATTTATGTACTGGTGGGGTCCCTAGTGGCTGCTAACTGGGTACTCCCTCCCCTCTGCTGGCCCTAGCCCCTGGTTGAACTCCCAGACAAA